ATATATATATATATATATATATATATATATAAAACAGAGCGGTTTAAGTCAAAACAGACGATTTAAATTGGGACGGAGGGAGTAATGGTTATTGGAACAAAATATATTTGTTACTTACTCCCTCCGTCCAAAAAAGAATTACCCATTTACTATTACAGCCTCTCGATAACTCTTATTTATTTGTGTATTTTCATTGATTATTTGATAAAATAAATTTTTGTCAGCTCTTATTTTGTAAATTTTTTGATGTAGTTTTTTAAATATAATTTTTTATTTTGTATTTTATTTAACAATTTATAAATAAAATCATTTTAAAATCATGGAGTTTTGCACGTTGATCAAAAATGAGTAAAACATTTTTGGAAGGAGAGAGCATAATATAACAAGTCATGGTTGGAGAAGGGAGCAAAAAGTGACTTGTTATACCACTATTCATTAGATAAAAAAAAGCAATAGCAAGCCACATATACCAAGCCCCATTGGAGATGCTCTTAGTCAGCTTATTTAAAACAAATATAGCAATATAGGCCAGAAATAAAGCCCACCTTCCAAGCCCACATTCTAAAATAATACTCCAATTTCCAACAGGAGTAAACCCGAAGAGTTACTCGGTGAATTCCCAAAAGAGGCGCAGGTAGACCTAAGCGAAACTGAAGATTTGAGAATGATGATTGAACGATTCGTTAACGAAAAACCAGGTCATATATAAATATTCTTATCATTTCTTATTTTATAAAATTTTTGACGTAATTTTTTATATACAATTTTTACTACATCCCACTCTGAATATTTATCTAATTTTAAATTTTTACAAAAAATATTATTCCCTCCATTCCGAATTTAATTATAAATTGAGATTTACAAGAAGAAATATCTCACTTTTTAAAATTATTTTATTTAAAAATCAATATGTCAATAAGAAAATAAAAATTACAGATTAAAATCTATAAAAGTTCAAAAAAACAAGAAATGATAAAAATATTTTATTTTAGTGAATACTTCACGAATTCACATAAACAAACAAAAATTATCGAGACGAAGGAAAAATTGTAATCTAATTTAAGTTGAAAGAAGTATCCCTCTGTCCTAAAACTTCCTTCCAGAGCACTATTCTAATTACACGGGAATTTATATTTATTTGTGTTTTTTCATGGCCTATATGATAAAATAAAATATTTTTATCACCACTTGTTTTCTTGAACTTTTAATGTAATTTTTAAATATGTACTCCATCCGTCCTTAAACTTTCTTCCCAGAGCACTATTCCAACTTCATAAGAATTTATATTTATTTATGTTTTTTTATGGCCTATATAATAAAAATATTCTTGTCACCAGTTATTTTGTTGAACTTTTGATAGTTTTTAAATATGTATATTTTATTTTTTATTTCTATACCAATATTTAAATAAAATAAATTGAAAAGCTTAGAATTTTTTTATTTTGCGCAACAGAAAAAAGAAAGGACGGAAGGAATATGTTTTAGTTTTATTTCTATACCAATATTTAAATAAAATAGAGTGAAAAAACTTGAATAAGATATTAATATAGTCAAGTTTTTTATAGAGTGAAAAAACTTGAATAAGATATTTCATATTCTGTTTCCGTCTCAATTTATAGTACATGTTTCAATTTACTATGTTTAACCTATATTATTTTCAAATCATTTTATATAACAAATAGTATAAAGTTAAAAAATTAAAATTACATATTAAAATACAACATAAAAAGATCTACAAAACTAATAGTGACAATAAAACTTTATTTTATCAAATTACTAACAAAAAAAAGTGAATGAATTTAACCTTGTGAATAGTAAAAAAATAAATTCTGAAAAACTAATTTGTAGAAAATTAGCCATTTTCCGAGACATTTCCTTTTCAATTCTTTTTCTCAGAGTTCGGCTACCGTAAATCGGGTTTTGAAACCTTAAACAAAATTTGGGAAAAAGAACGACAAAGCCAGTTTGGTAAGAAAAATCAAGAATGTCTCAATTTTGCAGTGTTACGTTCTTCCTCCAAATTCTTCCTTCAAATCAAATTTGAGTTCTCTCCTGAAACGCAAATTGCTGCATTTGATTTTTCAACGCAGTGGAAATCTTCAGAATCACCACCAAGATCTTCTTGCACCCAGAAACAAAAACAATTGCCCAGATTTCATATTCTGTTTCAGTTAGAGTTGGGACTGGTTTAGTATTATTGGGTGTTCTCAATAAATTCTTGGGTAGGTCTCAAACCCACACGCATTTGTTTATTCTTGTTTTTGAAATCTACACATATTTATTGTGGCTCAAATTACTGATTTTTTTAAGCTCTTCATTTATAAATTTTAATTGTTCAAAGTATTAAAAAGAGTGGAAAAAAAGGTGTGGGAATACCGTTTAAATGTTAAGTGTATGTATTTTAGTTATAGTGTATTTCCGTTCGAATCAGAGAAAATTAATTCAACCCAGATCAATTCCACAACTTCAAATCAATTTCAATCAAATTGGAACATAAAAAATTCAAACCATATTTAAAAAAATTTAGACGAAAAAGACAGAGTCAGTACAAACATGTAATCCAATCATGTGGCAAGAAGATGAAGAAAAGAGAATCTCCTTGGCGAGTTTATTGGTAAAGCTGGAGCTTTCAACTCCATTGCTATTGCAAACTAAGAAATTGCCTCAAAACACTGAGTTGTCTAGGGACAGAGTGAGTTTGCGTTTTATGAAAATCAAAAATCGAATTCAATTGATTGAAAACATTTTTCACAGAATTGAGAAATCCAATGAATTGAAATCATTTACCAGGAAATAAAGGGCTTGAAAGATCACTGGAAACAGATTGCAATCAAGCGAGTGATTCTGGATTTCATATCGCAAGTTTTGATTGTTTGATACTGTCCGGATCGGATTGTGATTTCGAACCCCGGACAAGAAGCTGACTTGCTTGAATACGAAAACAAATTGTTCAAGGAGAAAAAACACGAAAAGAATAAAATAATCGGAATCCGACGTCCGCCATAGACAAACAGAAAAGATTAATCTACACCGAGAACAGACGTCGCCGGGTGGCGGGGGACTAGGGTTTGGTCCGTCGAGTACTTGTAAGGGAGAGGAAGGCGATAGCATAAATAGGGAGTTGAAATGGGCTTAGGGTTGGTGTTCATGTGTATACGGGCTGGGCTAATTTGTTGTTCATGCATATCATTAATGGCCTATTTGGGAATATCTTTAGCGATTAGCCTTAGTGTTTTCAAAAAGCTATTTACGGGCAGCTTTTAGCGTTAGCGTTTTCAAATTAATCTGCACCGTTAAAATTTTATTCAAAACGCTGACGCTAATCGCTAATGCTATTCCCAAACAGGCCCTAGAACGTTAAATCGGAACGGGTCGGACTGAGTCGGGGTTCAAACTTTGTACTTTCGGGTTTGAGTATGTTTCGAGCTAAGAATTAGAGGATTTGCAGTGGGACGGCCTCTCGCATCGCCTCATTGCGTGTTACACTGTTACATCAACATTTTTTTCTTTTTCGGTCCGCCTCAAAACAACACATGTAATGTCATCGCCACCTCGCCCTGTCCGTCCGTTTTCTTTTATTTTATTCATTATTTTTAGTGAAAACTCCCTAAAAAAGAGCTAAAAAATATAAAAATACCAAAATAGAAGTCATAAGTCTTTTAGAATAAAAATGAAGTTCAAAATGTCATTGTTAGACACACTCACCACATTATAACATTGTAACTACCACACTATCACTGCCACACTGTCATCTTTCGTCACCGACCGCAAGAGTGACGTTTCAGATCGCCGATGGTTGACTGATCATACTGATATATTACATTATCATCACTTTTTCATCACATTGTCAACGCGTACTCTTACACCACAGTGCTATTATGCTCCTATTTTTGTCTTAAAAGGCTTAGAATTCTTATTTTAGTATTTTTCATACTTTTTTACTCCTATCTAGGGAGATTCCTTTTTTAATTAAAAACTTATATAAATAAAAACAAAATATAAATAATTTTAAAAAAATGCTAACAACGACACTCTTTATTTAAAAAAATAAAGAAAATGACTAAAATATGATTAAAACATAAAAAAATATACCAAATAGAAGTTTTATGTCTTATTTTCAAGCTAAGAGTTAAATTTATATACAATGTCAATAATGAACAATATATAATACGGAGTATCAAAAATATTGTGAAATGTCCATATACAGTACCACATTATCACGGTGTAAATTCTTATTTTGGGGACAAAAACATAAATCTCCTATTCAAATTTTTTTTCTATGTTTTACTCTTATTCAGGATGCTTTCCTAAAAAAATCAAAATAAAATAAAAATAAAGATATAAAATACATTGAGACCAAACATATAGACCTCCTCTCACGTTGTTTGTGGCTGATGAAGGAAGAACCAAGCGAGATACACCACCTAGACTTTAAAAAAATCAAAATGCGGTGCGGCGAGATGCTGCAATGGACTAGGCTGCGCATCCTCACCCGTGCCACATGACCGGTGTTGGGCCTACGCTGCGGCTTTCAGGGCAACTCTTCTCGTGCAATGCAAAGCCACTACGCACCCCACCCCACCCCAAGTTCTAGCGCAACAGCTTTTAGGTTGCAAAACAAAGTTAGCTTTTGAATGAATTTAGAAATAATTAGAAAACAATGAAATTTGTAAAAAGAATTGAAACAAACGGTAATGGATTGAAAAAAAAGAAATATGATGCAAGAAATAAAAAAAAGAATTGAAAACTATTTTAAGTAAAGTTTTCCAACCTCAAAAACCATACCTTAAATGTACGAATAATATAGGTCATGTTTAGCGAGCTCTTACATTTTGATGCCAAGGAATTGTGGTCTAGAATTAGGATTGTAAACAAATAATCATCTAAATTGAATACCAAAATACTAACTTTGAAATTGCATTTGTTTAATTTTTTCAACTTGTAACCAACACACTTATATGCACAAGTATATAGTACAACTATGCCCCATTAAGGGCACTCAACTGAATTACTTCCATAACAATGTGTCTGTATAATTAAAGTTCAAATTGGATTTATTGGTACACTTTCAGAACCACTCCAAAGGGTAAATGGTATGAAATAGAGACGGTGAATGAAATAAGAGAGACTGAATATACTATTTTTAACCGAATCGAACTATTGACTGTGTCCATTACATAAGAGGGGCTCTACAATTATTAATAAAAACAATACACAAACTGTATTTTGTCCTAATCGTTTAGGTATCATTCATGACTTCTAGTTCTAAAATGCAACCTATTGAAATCTATTTCGCCTTTCTATAATGAGTATCAAATATACTATTGTGTTCCAAGTTCCTACTCAACTGAAGGTTTAAGCATATACTCCGTGTATAAGAAAACTTAGAATGATCCTTAAAAAGCACACCATAATAAGAGAACTAATGGATCAAGAGTAAGAAAACCCCAAAGGTCATGGACAAGGCTACGTCACACTCCAGACTTTTCCGGAACCCTCCAAAGCAAATGTAAGCCTAAAGCCTGATCTTGAACGTTAAAGAGGCCAAGGACAGCTAACAACCAGCTCTGAAAGGTGTCCAAAACCAACTTTCTAGATTCCCAAACTGTATGCTGCCCTAATCTTTTAGGTATCATTCATGACTTCTAGTAAAAAATGTAACCAATTGAAACCCATTGCGACTTTCGATAATGAGTATCAAATATAATGATGTGTTGTTCCAAGTTCCTACCCAGCTGAAGGTTTAACCATATACTCCGTGTGAGAAAACTTGAGCTGACCCTCAAAAGCAGACCATAATAAGAGAACTACATAATCAAAAGAAACATCCCAAATGTCACTGACAGAGGCTATGTCACAATCCAGGCAGATATGGAAGCATCTGAACCACCTCCCAATCATCTACAATTCTCCATAGTGTTCTAGGATAACCTTGTGTATTCTGGAACACTCTTGAGTTATTCTAGTATAAAGATTATGGAAGAGAATGATTTAAAGATGTAATCCTAGCCATAGGATTAGATCGATCCCTGCTGTTCATATGAGGGTGGGGAACTATAAATACCCACGAGAGGGGCCTCATTTGTAGGTCCAAAACAATATAAAGGCATTCTCTTAAGCTCTCTTTGTTCACTTAAGTCTCTCTCTTCTCTAGCCTGACCTTCTAAATCTAAGTTAAGCATCTTGGTAAGGCTTACTAGCATTCTTGCCGAGCAAGATCCCTAGGCCACACAAGTTGAAGTTTGGAAAAATAATTGCCTAATGACACAAAGCATTGGCATAGCCGCCATAGCCAATCCAGAGATTTATCACAACAATAATTTACTTTTTTTTGGGGAGCGTCTAAAATGACACCAGTTTCTTATACACCAGTTGATTACACCAGTTCGTTTGGGGTACTTACAGTGCCCCGTTTGTAAAAATGACGGTTCCTACCCCCCTAACCCTCCCCCTAAACCCCCCAGCCCAGCCCCACCCTTGCCCCCACACCAGCCCCCCCTCCCGCCCCCCTCCCTACCCTGGCAGTATACTGCCAGGGTATGGAGGGGGGCGGGAGGGGGGCTAGGGTGGGGGGCAAGGGTGGGGCTGGGGTGGGGGGTTTAGGGGGAGGGTTAGGGGGGTAAGAACTGTCATTTTTACAAACAGGAGGGCGGGCACCGTAGGTACTCCAAACGAACCGGTGTAAGCAAATGGCACCAGGTGTCATTTTAGACTTACTCTTTTTTTATTTACCCATTAGAGGAAAGAAGAAACTTTATCGGAAGGCATCAGTATAGATAGACTGTTGGTTGGAGCCAAAACACACCACTCCATAAGAAATAATCACTCAAAGAATGAACACTGTGATGCTCATTCAGTCATTCAAGACTAGTATTTGAAGAAACCATGACTAAATCAGTTTATAGCCCTGAGCAAGAAAACTAGCTCAACATCAGGAAAAGGAATCAAACACGACTGGAAATTCAACCTCGGACTGGCAATCAGTATCACTACTGGGATTTCCAGAAATTGTCACAATCAAAGCAGAACATTTTCAGGCAAATTACACGGTTCACATATTATTCAATTCGAGACCTCAAAAACAACAAATCTTCAAGAGGACGAACCTGGCAGAGATTACGGAGTGTCCCATGGCTTTGGCTCGGGGACTGCTACGACCATGCCCTGATGCTCCTGAGTGAGAACGACCTGGCATCCGAGCCTGGAGTGCTTGTTCAAAACCCTAGACCTAGAGTTCCTCTTGAGCACGTACTGTTCATCGTACGTGGCCGGTGGGAGCTTCTCGAGCCATTCCTCCGCGATGTGGACCTCGCACTCCGCAGAGCAGGCGTCGATATCTTCGAGCCGGTGGGAAGCCGGGTCAATCAGGCCATGGTTGGTCAGCGCCTTGAGAAGAGTCTGGCCGGAGAGTCCGATCACGCTCCGCTTCCGGCCTTCCGGATCAATTGCAAACAGATTCACGATCCGGTCGGAGACCCTGGCGGAGGAAGTCCGCGCTGTGGAGGTGGCGGAGGATCGGGCTCCAAAGGGGTGGGTGAGGCAGGGATTCCGCCGGATTTGTGATCCGAGTCTTCGTAAACAAACGGAAGCCATTTTCGGGAGCTTCCACGGGCGAGAAGGAGAAAATCAACGAAGGCTAAAGTCGAGTTCGAACATAATTTGGGCCGTCTTTTTCTTGCTGTATTTTAAAAATTCTTTCGCCGGTCCAATCTATATTTTAAAAAATCTTTCGCCGGTCCATTTCACAAGGCCCAAAAGATGTCCTATCCGACATTCCGAAATGTGCCTTCTAAGTTTTTTTCCCTATTGAGTTTCATGTTTTTTGTTTGGCAAAAAAATTTATGTTTTTTAATAAATGTGGAATATAAATAAAAAAGAAACATAGATGAAATTAGATTTCTATACGAGATTGAAATAAAATGAATCTTGAAATTTGGAAGTAGTAGAATATATCTTGAAAACAATTTTGAGAGAAAAATAAAATAAAATATGGTTGTGGTGGACCTCCAGTAAGATAGTGGTGGTGAGAACGACAACGATTGCGATGGTGGCGGTGTAGCAACAAGGCCGTCTCATACATTTTATACGCCCTTAACAAAAAGAAAAGAAATCACCCCAAATAGGAGTAAAACATAAGTCATATTCTCAAAATAGGAGCTCAAACTTAAACTCCTCTAAGTACGAGTGATTATTTAATTTTTTTTATTCATTTAATCTTGTCGCACAAATTGCAGATCCAGCCTTTCCGATTGAAGCACGACTCCCTTCCTCGATCGCATCCACAACACGTGCTCCATCTCTGATCTACTTTCCCCATCGCCACCGCCACCTGCACCTCTGTCATCTACGATGTACCCCATTAAAAGACTTGCTGCCCAGTTGTAGCGTTCAACCCCATTTTGCCGACGTCAAAGATTCGCTCATCCCTTTCCACAATCCATTCAGTTGTGACGTCGTCACCAAATCGTAGCGCTATAGCCGCCTCCACGTACACACACTCTCAGATTTTTTGGGGCATCCATGCCACGCCACCCCACCTCCATCTCCCTCCCTCAAAGCCTTTGATTTCAAAAGTGAGCGGATTCTCCCTCGATCTTTAATTGAATTTTATTTTCTTCAAATTTTGTTTAGATACTTTGTAATGATAATTTGGGGTCGGCGTAACAACGATGCATCACTCTTGAGGACGATGGATTATCTGACTGCCATAAAGGGGACCATGAATAGGGTAATGATTGTCGTGAGTCATGCAGGGCATTGGGGTGGGGTTTGGAATTATGCCTTGTGTGACATGGTAAATTTTGCATTGTGACATTGTGAATTCGCATCGTGACATTATATATTGTCATGCGTGATATTATGTGGTGCCATGTGAGGCATAATATTGTCATATGTGACACTATGTGGTGCCATGTGGGCATTATGTCTTTCTTTGACACTGCAATTAATGTGGCACTGTGATCACGACTGTGCATATTATAATTGCGACAATGGTATAGAGCGGCGGCTTTGACGGTGAAAAATTAATTACGGTAACGGTTGGTTTTGACACTAGTGGCGTAGTGGATGCGGAGCAAGGTAGAATTCAAGTGATAGTTACAGGGATGTAGCGGTAGCAATGGTGGTGGCGACATCGACATCTGCAGTGAGTTTGAGGTAGAGTGCCTTTGCTGAAATACTTTTTTAGCTTTGAGGTTTGAGGTAGAGTGCCTTAATATGAAAGTGCCTTTATCCCAACATCAAAGTGGAGAGTGGTGTTTTCAACAAATCATACTATTTGTTTTGAATGAAATGCATGGAGTCCTTCATGGTTTGTTGGATTTATGGACTACTAGAGTTATAAAACAGATGTTGATAGTGGTAGGATTTCTTTTAAGTTCTGGAGCTGGCTGCAAATGGAGGGCGTGTAGTGGTTAGGTTGTTTATGTTTTATTAATTAAGTCAATTACTCATATTTAAAGGAGTTTAAGTTTAAACTCTTATTTTAAGGATATGACATATGTTTTACTCCTATTTTGGTCCTTCTCCCCAAAAAGAATTGCCACCACATGAGTGCTACCATGGGTGCATCCATGCTTCACACAGACAATAATCGTCTGTGTCGCACTGACGATTAACGTCTATGTTTGTTTGTGCGAAACATTGATGCACCTTTAACACTCATGTGGTGGCAACCTAGCATAATCCAAACAAAAAGAGAAAACTCTTATGATCTAAAGGGATTCTCTCTCTAGCCATGGGAAAGAGAGGGCGACCGCCAAAACCTATCGGAAAAGACACCGGAGATGCGATTGCTACACCGTCGATTGAAGAAAAGGTAACAGAAAAGGAAGACCCTGAGGTTTCGAACAAGAAATCACCTACTGGATGTGCTACACCCATCCAACCACAACCAGATCTGGAGATCGAGGAGTTGATCGCGACAGAGGAAGAGGCTGAGGATAAGTCTGAAGGAAAAAAAAGCTACGCTGATGTTGTTGGTATGCAGTATGACCTGAATTTTGCCCTGAAGTTTATCCCGATTGAAGAAAATGAAGGCCAGCGTATAATCAAACTAACAACAGAGGATGTGATTGAACCGGGTATGTACTAGGAATCTGCACTGGTGTGTTGTATCTTAGGAGCAAACCCCCCACTGGAAATAGTTAAAGGATTTTTATCTAGAATCTGGAAAGCATATGAAATTGATGACATTTCATTCTTAAGGGAGGGACAATTTATTGTTAGATTCCATAAAGTAGAGGACAGGGATGAGATCATAAAGAAGAAGTACTACTTTATGGACAACAAACCAGTATTTGTTCAAAAGTGGTATCCAGGATGTAAAGTGAACCTGCTGGAAAGAAAGGACATACCCATATGGATTCAGTTCCCTGATTTGGAGATGAAATATTGGAGTCTCTCGGCATTAAGCAAATTGGGCAGTGCTATTGGACAACCAATCAGGAGGGATAGGGCAACAGCTTCAAGAGTCAAATGGTCCTATGCCCGTATTCAAGTTGAAGTCCAGATTAACCAAACATTTCCTGATCAAATTAATTTCCTGAATGAAGAAGGCAGAATAATAACCCAGAAGATAAAGTATGAATGGGCTCCCACTGTTTGCTCACACTGTAATAGAATTGGTCATGTGTTCGAGATGTGTAGAAAGAGATATACTGAAAACACAAAGGGTACAGGAGGAAAGAAAATTTGGAGACCTAAAACCACACCACAGGGGGGCAAGGATGAAGCAGCACCACCCTCCATACCCCAGAGAACTGAAACAGAAAAGGAAGATAATAAGAGGGATAAGGAAAATGTAGAGGCAAAGAATCCAGAGAACTCTGATGACTCAGGATTCCTTGAGATTTCAAAGAAAAAAGCTGCGAAGAGGAGGTTTTTGGAAGGTACAGAAGGTAATTATGTGGGGAATATACATAAGGATCTGATGACTGTCCCATTTAAGGGACACTACCCTTTCTTATTATGATTGGTTGTTGGAATATTAGAGGGCTTAACAGCCCTAATAAACAAGCTGAAGTTAGAAATATAATAAATAAGTATAAGTTAGCTATTTTTGGAATTTTGGAGACTAAAATAAAGGATAGCAAATTTAAAGATATGGAGAACAGAGTTTGTAGAGGTTCGGGGTCTTTCATCAATAATCAAGCTCATCCACTGGGTAGGGTCTGGGTTATTTGGGACCAAACAAAGCTTGATGTTAAGATCTTGGAGCTTACAGATCAGATTGTACACTGCCAAGTCAGAGAGTTTGGAGTTAATAAAATGGGACACCTAACTTTTGTCTATGCCCATAATGAATCCAACAAAAGGAGGGAATTATGGGAGAGCTTACAAAGGCTAGCTACCTCTGCCCCTTGGTGTGTTTTAGGGTATTTTAATACAGTTCTGAAACAGGATGAGAAAATTGGTGGCAATCCTGTTAGTTGGGAGGAAGTGAGACCGTTCCAAGACTGTCTAAATTTGTGTGGATTAGAAGATCTACCATTTGAAGGACCTAGATTCACATGGACAAATAACCAAGATTATGATAAGCGCATCTACTCCAAACTGGACAGAGTCTTGGGGAATATCAACTGGATGTGCAATTTTGATCACAAGGTGTATTTTAAAGAAAGGGGAATCTCAGATCATTCTCCCATGATAATACAGAAACTGGAACAATTTAAAGTTGGACATCACTTCAGATTTTGTGACATGTGGACCCTAGATCCCCAATTCCCTCTTCTAGTGGCTGATGTTTGGGACCAGGAACACAAAGGTTATCCTATGTACCAAGTTATTCAAAAATTAAAGCAGCTCAAAGGCCCCCTGAAGAAGCTGAACAAAAGTAAGTTCCAAAATTTGGATTCCCAAATTGATCAAATTAGAACTAAACTGCACATTGTTCAGGCAGATCAGAGGGCAAACAGTTCTAACACAAATTTGGCAAAATTTGAAAAAGAGTTGACTCAGGAGCTACACCAAAAACTCAGAGCTAACTTCCTCATGAAATGTCAACAATCAAAGGCAGACTGGATCACATATGGGGATCAAGATACTAAGCTTTTCCATGCTTGGGTGAAGAAAAGGAGAGCCCAAACTCATCTTACTGCGATTGCTAAAGAGGATGGAGAAGTAGTGGAGGGGAAAACCAAAGTGGCTAAAGTACTAGTAGAGTTCTATCAAAATCAACTAGGGAGGACAATGGAGACTGAGGATATTAACCCGAACATTATCTCTATGGGTAATACACTATCAATTGATCAGCAGATGGCCTTGATTGCTCCTATAACCCCTGATGAGATAAAGACTAGTCTGTTTGAGATTCCTAATAATAAAAGCCCGG